TGAAGTCCTACAAGTGCTATTTACTTCAAAAACCTAAAGGAAAAATTGGAGTGAAAAACCTGTTGACTACAATAATCTGAAAGTCTTTGGATGAGCAACTTTTGCAAATCAAAATGAAGGCAAAATGGAGCCTAGAGCTCTAAAGTATGTCTTCATAGGTTATGAAGAAGGGATATAGAATTTAGGTGAGGGAAATCAAAGGGTATAAGATCATAACTAGCCAAAATGTTGTATTTAGTGAATATTATCTTCCCTACCTTAAGACTGATAAGAATGTAGAACCCATAAGTCAGACTGAAAATGAAGATAGAAGTATTGAAATTGAGCGGGTTGGTGACATCAACAAAATGATGTTCACACTGAAAATGAAAATGTTGATACTTAATGGAGTTTCTATTGATGAATCTGATGTTAATTTGGAAAAAAAATCAACATTTGAATGATCATCAACTTGCTAGAGATAGGCAAAGAAAACAAATAGAACCTCATGTTAGGTTTGATGACGATGTGTCATTATTGACCTTTCAAAGCATGATTGATGATGAACCTATTCTTTTGAAGAAGATATGCGCCGCAAAGATTCTAACCATTGGCTTGTAGCAATGCAAGATGAAATGCAATCACTTAAAAAAAAATAAAACATGGGTTCTGATTAAAAGACCTTAAGAAAAAGGGTTGTTGATTGTAAATGAATTTTTAAAATTAAAAGAAGAGAACAAAATGAAAATAACATCAAATTTAAAGCAAAATGATAAATGTATTTTTACACATTTATTTGTTCCGCAAAATATGACTAATTGTTGATAAAATTGGTTTAATATGACTTGATTTTATGCAATTTTGTTTTGTAGGGCAATATTGATAGATATGACGGAACTCATGAGAAAAGACGCAAAAATGACCAAAACAAAAGAAAATGAAAGTTCTGGGACCAAAGTGCAAGTATCCAAAAGATGACTCGAAAGACGAATCGAGAATGCAAACGAGCTAAATATCAACTTGGAGATAATATGAGATGATGGAAGGAAGAAAATGAAGAAAAAAGACCAGAATGGAAAAGAATGAAAGTTCAAGGACTAAAATGCAAATAGCTAAAAGATGAACCGAAAGCATAGACAGAGGCATTAAAGAATCATGGACCAATTTGTTGAAGATTTGAAATATTGAGAGAAGAACAATGAGAAAAGAAGTCAAAATACAAGAAATTTAAAGTTTGGGGACCAAAACACCAATTTCAGGAAAAAACTTATACCATGCAGTCGCATGGTATAAACGACCATGCAGTCGTATGGTATAAATCGGACGCGAAATCTTCAGCTTCTTTCTCTACTTAAAACTCTTATGAAAACAAGTCGCAAGAGATATATAAAAACCCTAGAGCTGTTAATTGAAGGGGACATGCCTTGGGAGAGAAAAGAACTCATATTGGAGGGGATTTTACACCATAATCACAAAGAGAAACAGAATTACATACCAAATCTCATATCGGTGATGTCATTTCTTAAAGTTATTGTGTATATTATTAATTTCTCCATATTAGGCTAGGTTTTTATATACTAGAAGATCGATGAACCCTGTGATGTAATTTTTAACTTCTAGTTTTGCAATTTTGGCATCAAAACATGCTTCTTGAATTTTAAATGATTTATATACAATTAATTGGTTCCATAATTATGTGCACAAAATTGTGTGAGTGTGGTAACTTGTTTCATGCATTCAAGAGAAGGGAAATGAGTTCGACAGAATATAAATCATCGTAGGGTCCAATAGGGAATAGAGATATATCGCTATGCCTTACGTGAATCTTTAAATGCTCACAAAACTACATACATTTTTGTATATTTACACCTGTCATAGAGATATAAGCTCGTGGTATATGAGAATAGGTTCAACTTTACTTAAGAAAGATTGTTGGATGGATGTAGGAGTATTGATTCTTCAAAATTTCAACGCATTTTCAAGTTGTAAATCAAGGGTTAAAAGTGAAAATTACTTGGAGATTCGTGATCCTAGTGTGATTCATATTCATTGATTACATCAATTTTGCATTCAATATTCATTTTACATTCTAGTTCAATTGAGTCATACATATTTGCATATTAGGTTAAAATTAGGGTTAATTCAAGTTATTACAAATCTTGTTGATAATTTTGTTTCGATTAAGATCAAGATAGAAATAAACTACTCAATCTTTGTGGCACGACATTCGGACTCTAATTTTCCACCTTATTATTTGTAGCGAACTAGAACACTTGCGAGTTTAGATCGAAAGAATAATTTCGTGAACACAAGAGGCCTTACTAAAAAAGAATGAATAGATTTCAATAGAATCTTTTCCCCACTTGTAAGTTTACAACTATTAAAGTTATTTTAGCTTTAACCATACAGTTTAACTCGGAATTTGACCAATTAGATGTCAAAACAACTTTTTTAAAAGGAGATTTTGATGAAACCATTTACGTGGAACAACTAAAAGGTATTGAAATAAATAAGAAATCCAATTTAGGATAACTTCTCAAGAAGCCTTTTTATGCCTTAAAACAAGCTCTAAGATAATGGTACAAGAGATTTGATATATTTTTACTTGGACTTGGTTTTAAGATAAGTAATTTGATACATGTCTTTTTAGTAAAGGAGATAGAGGTAATGATTCACATTATCTAGTTCTTCACATAGATGACATGATGTTAGCAAGTCATGTCATAAAGGAGATAGAGTTAATAAAAGAAGCTAAAATCTAAATTTGAAATAAAGGAGCTAAGTCCTGTAAAAAAGATTTTAGGTATTGAAATTAAGAGAAATAGAAGAGAAGGCACACTAAGTCTCAATCAGAAATCATACGTGCTTAAACTATTGGAGAGGTTTGCTATGACAAATTCGAAAATTGTCGGTTTACCTTTAGCAAATCATTTTAAAATTTCAAATGAACAATGCCATAAATCTAAAGAAGAACTTGATAGAATGACTAGAGTACCATACTCAAATGTAATTGGATCTGTAATGTACTTAATGGTCTATTCAAGACCTGATTTGACATATTCTATAAGTGTCTTGAGTATATATATGTCCAATATTGGAGAAACTCATTGGGAAGTTATAAAATGGCTTCTTAGATACGTAAAGAACACTTATAATTTAGAAATACAGTTTAGAAAAAAAATCAGAGGGTATCATTTTGAGGGGTTATACTAATTCTGACAATGTAGGTGATAGAAATAACAAAAATCAATTCATATATAAGCTAAAAATCTCAATTTTAAAATATTGCTGCTTTATCATCCACTGAGGTAGAATATATAGCTGCCACAAATGCAATCGAAGAAGGAATATGATTCAAAGGCCTATTAAATAAGTTTGGCTTTATTAATAAAGTCGTTCTTTATCCAGATAGCCAATCTACTATTCATTTATGTAGAAATCATGTTCTGCGTAATAGATCTAAATATGTTAGGTGTTAAATTTTATTTTATTAGAGATGTTATTTCACAAGGAGTTATGAAACTTGAAAAAGTTTCTACTCATTTCAATCATCATGCTAATGTAAGTACAAAGGTGCTGCCTTCAAACATATTTCCAGATTGTTGGAGTCAACTAAATATAAATTCTTGCTGATTGCGTATCATGTAAGAGAGCAAATTATGTCATGACGAGATAAACTATTGCAAGAAGACTGGAATCATTGTGCCAAGGTGGATATTGTCAAGTAGTAAAACATTAATGACTGGACTAACTGTTGACTTTGTTGGATTGTATGTTCAAAGGCATGTTAAAAGTTAGGTTGTTTTAGTTTGGCCAAAAACGGGTTTTGGAAAAACACACTTTCACTAATGGAAGGAATCTCTAGGATGCTATCAAGTGTCAACCTCGACACCATTGGATTGACTGACCTTTTGGTTGCTTCTATTACCCTTCACTAGTCTTGGGACGAAAAATCTTGTGTTCCATTTTTCTTTCTGTTCTTTATGTTTTCGCTATTTTTGTTTGATTAAGTCTCCTAACTTCTTGAATCTTGTCAACACTTTCTGTTTGCCGGTAGATATTCTAATTTTCTAAAAATTGAGTCCCATTTAAATATTAACTAGTACTAACTTTTCTTTTCTTTTTTTAATATCAAATTATGAGGTAAAAGTCAATGCCAAACTCTGAACCCCGAATTTTGGGGGAAGAAAAATGGAAGTCTTCAACAGAACTATATATAAAAAATTGAATGATCTTCTAACTCATTGATTATATCGTTTCAACTTTATTGGATGTCCATAAGGAAAACAAGTGAATTTGCATTATATATTAACTCCACTTTGCCCTCCACATTAAAATTTTAATACATTTTTCACTCTCTTCTTTTCAACCATACATTTTTCTTAAAAAAAAAATAAAAAAAAAATCCTTCTTTTTTAATCACACATTTTTCCAAAATATATTATTCCATAATACATTTTACCAAAATTTCTCTTTATAATGTGTGTCAAACAACAATTCAACCCTCTTTTCGTCTAGAATCTGATCATCTGCCAAACAACATTGATCTTAGTTATTCATAAAAAAGCACCAAGTAGTTCTAAAATAGAAAAACTATAAGCCCCAGCAAAGCCCTATGCAATCTGAACCTCATATTCCCTTCTATGATCTATTGACATTGCATCTCATTCACATACAAGTGTGTGTAGATGTGTATATATCTTTTCAAACAGTCTCTCTTACATATTAAATTGATAATAAAATCCTAAATGCATGTTTCTTAAACAATATTAAATTGTATTGACATCATAATCGACAATATTTTCATCTTCTTTTGTTTCTCGTTGATGATAAAAATGCAAGTCCATAGCATTATTGTACTAATCAATCACAAGATGGATGTGCAAAAACTAATCTCTTATTGGGGAAAAAAAAAGAAAAGAAAAAGAAAGGGTATAATCAACTCAAAGGGCTAATTAAATATCTGTTTCTATATTAAAATTGTGGTCACAATATTGAAAATTAAAGAAAAAAGCTCATAATTTATTTCAAAGGACAAGAAAAAGTGTTAATAAAACCATATTTTTATTACAAAGAAGAGGAATAGAAAATAAGACAAAAAGGAAGTTCAATTAATGTACACAGATGGAGTAATAACTCCCTAATATAATAACATCTTGATTTATAAGTCTAATTCTTGATTAATAATATAATACAGAAAGTGAGGATTCTTGAATTACCTAATTTTATCTTGCTCTCAATAAGGTGGCCTAGGATGTGCCCAAGCATATGCATCTTGATTCAACTGTACACAATTTGGCAATAAATTTGGTATCAAATTGTAAGTCATTGCCAGTGAAGATGGCTCAGGAATCCCGTGTTCGGTTTGGCCTCGACTGGTTCCGATTCCTGGCGGCGAATTCTCCGTCCCTCCAACCGAGGCCCCGGCCTTGTCCTCTTCTTCAAGAGGCAATCTTTCATAAGTTGCATTAGTGAATGCACCAGCAATGACCATAACAGGCCCTGCTGCCATCAGTGGTCCAACAACACATCCCCCCACGACCTGCCCCTGACCACCAGCTAGGTACACCTTCAACCCGGTGGCTTCTTGCAGCGCCAGGCCGGGGAGGAAAGCCCCGGTTAGTGACAGAATTTCAAACCTGCCAGTGAGAGATACGGCGGCGCCAGGCTCAGCCGGCTGTTTGATGGTGACATTGGACACTGATCCACTTCCACTCAATACACACACGCCTCGTTGACGCCTTCTGGCGAATTGGGCTATGCTTTCTACCACATCTGAGCCACCAGCGACCTCCATGACATGGCTGCGCAGCGTGTTAGGGCTATCTCGGGTGACAAAAATTGGTGGTTTTGGCTTGTTCTTAGATCCAGGCGGCCGGCCTCGAGGTCTACGAGTACCAACCTCTACAGCTCCCTCTTTAGGCTCGTCTCCCGTGTCTTCTTCTTCATCGCCTCTGCTGCTGCTTCCTCCATTTCTTTCATTGATGAATAATTCTCTCTCACTTTTTTTCATCAGAGACCCGGGTTCTAACCCCGGCAACCCCACCTGTCCCGTCCACCAAGGATTAGCCATGGCTGAAATTTTGATCGATTCAGCTCGAAATTAATGAAGAAACACAAATCTTGATGATTGTGACCTTTGCTTCCTTCAGTTTTCTTGATTGACTGCGAACAAAATTCAAACCCTAACGGGCCTAACCTCAGTCTTTTTTCTGATTAGGGCCATGAAATTCACTATAGCCTAAGATCTATATACTTCTTTGATTAAAGAACAAAATATAAGTGAATTTATATGGAAGATCGAGAAAAAATTCATAGCTTCACCTTTTTCAAGTTCGAGTCTCTTGAAGACAATCCATCGCCCCTGATAAGAAGTTTCAGAACCTAGCAAAAAGAATTGTAACGACTTGGAAGGCCACCCGATTGAAAGTCAAAGGATCGATTAGTACCCTCAGCCTCCCGGAATAAATATTATAAATCTTTTTACCCCAGAGAGATCTAGAGAGAGATTGCAGCATACAGAAATCCAAGAAGTAGAAGGCAAATTGAACCCAATAAACAGAATCAGGTAAGAAACACAAAGGATAAGGGAATAAAGAAGGGAAAGGTTGAACATCTATTACCAGTGAAGTTACTTGTGTAAAACCTCTTATCTGTTCCTGTGTGTTGATATGCTCATCATGCAGTGAAGTGAATTGGGAAACTAATTAATATTTTTCTCCTTTATAATTCTGTATTCACACTCTCTCTACTTTCTCTCTCTATTTATCTCGGTATCTCTCCATAGGAATTAGGGTTTCGAGTGGTGGGGGAGCGTGCAAATGGGCAGGTGGAGAGCACGTCACTGTCTCGTGTTCCGACATATTGAACGGAGGGCAGACCACCATTGCAAGTTATTATGCCATGCTTGGTTTGGATTAATATAAAACTAAAATTTCGAGTTAAAATTAACAATTAATTTTAGGGTAATATTACCACCACAATATTTATTTCCTACACTACATTATAATTACATCACAATTAAAATATATTTTCAATAAATAAACCACAATATATTTACAATTATACTCATAATCCAATAAAAACTAAAAATGAAAAAAGATGTGGTGTACTTATCATTCCAATATTACTCCTCATTTTTTTCAATCCTTTAAACATTTTCACTAACTCTAAAACAAGAATTTGTAGTATCTTTTCGTCACAAAGATTTTGCGCCGATTGTATTATAGGTGGAAAATATTATCTTTTTGTTACAGAAATTTTGCACCATAATAGCCTTTCTAATTGTTTTTAACGAGATTTTAATTGTAACTTTATATTGGATTCTTTAAAGTAAATTGAAACCATTTATAGGAAAATTCCATGTTTGACTTTCCATCATCCTCTCTTTTTTCTCAATTTTTTATGATTTTGGTGTGTTATAGATGAAGAGAAATTCATATACCTGCATATACAAAAATTTAAGAAATCTGACAGATCTCATACACAAAAATTCACGAAAACTGAAACATAAATTCATAATTTACATGCTTGTTTTAAAATCATAATAAATCTGATTGACTCAACAAAAAATAAGATCCCTAATTTTCAAACTCGACAAATAAATTGAAAAAATGAATTCATTTACCGTAAGGGAAAAAATGCCGCCGTGAAGAAAGGCAACAGTCGCTAGAAAAACTATGAACAATGAAATGTTGAGGAAAAATGAAGAAAGAAATTAGATTTTACATTTGTGGTGTAATGATAATTTATTTAATTAAAAGGTATATTAAAATTCTAATTATGTAATTCTACTTATGGGTATTTTAGTAAATAAAAAAAAGTGTGGTATACTTAGTAAAATTTGTAATGGTAATATAATTACCCCTTAATTTTATCACACGTTTCATGAAATTCATAAATGTCCAATATACCTTTCATAAACTTTTATTCAAATTTATTAAAAATCACACTGCCCCGTCCCAATTATATAAACTGAGTTTCATTTTTCTCTTGTCCCAAATTATATACATGTTTCTTAATTTAGAATATTTTGTTTTGTTCCTTTACCAATTGTATCCTTATTCAATTTTCCCTACTTAATATGCCAGTTTTTTGAAATCATCCAAATATGCATATTTTTTTACTTCTTGGAAATATGGAAGAACTCTCTTTTCTTCTTCTTCAAATTATTCAAATTCTTTACTAATTCCAACAATAATTTACCATTACATATTAAAAATTAAATATGGATAAATTAGGAAAGATTTTGGCAAAAATTAATTTTCCAATGACATTAATAAAGATTTCTTAATCCATGTAAAAACAAAATAAGTCTATATAATTGGGATGGAGAAAGTATTTTAATCCTCAAGTACATATACATGTTTCGTCTTTGAAAATATCTCAAGTTGATGATTACGAGTTAAAATCTATTATTCCAAACTTACTTAACTGTTTTTCTTAGCCCATGTTGCGTCTTCGTAAGTATCTTAAGTTGATTATTACAAGTTAAAATATATTATTCCAAACATACTTAACTGTTTTCTTAACTCATATTTGGTAAAGATTAAAATATAGATTTTTATTAAAATCAAATTTAACAATTAATTTTAAATCATATATTTTATGATACCCACAACTTTTCAACCATACCTTTCATTCGCTTTTATCAAAATTTGCTAAAAAATTAATTTTAATCTCCACCAAACAGGGGCATAATATATTTTTAACACATCACCATATCAATCTTTCTCAACAGATGAAAAGACATCAAATTGTTGTATGTCGAAATGTAAAATAATAAATAAATAAATTTTGCTTCCCGTTTGCTAAGAAGAATATATACCCAGATTTAAAAATGTAATTGATGGGAGGACAAGATATATCTTAGCTCAACTCATTACACATAAATGTAAAATGAATTCTTTAATCGTCGCTTTCTCAACGGTAAGAATCTCGTCTAGAAGTTTAATAGTTAGAGAGGACTACATTTAATTAAATTTTATTTTCAGCACGTCCCTTTAATAATAGAGTAAAAATTTTTAATCAAAGTTCACTTGTACAATTTTAATAAATAGATGACAACAGAATTCAAATCAAGATCTATTAAATAGGTACGATACTTTCTATTCATTTTCAAATCCACAATAACTTGTGTCACGTTTGTTAAGCTAAATTAAATAACACTGAATAGTTTTTATATAAGAAAAATGTTATACTTACTGTACCATTTTGGCAATAGTACATACAATGAGCCCTAGAAATTTTAATAATAAATAAATTCAACTCAGCACTAATCATCGCAAGATTGAATTGTTGAAAATTGACTCTAATTAAAATTAAAGAGAAAATTCAAACTTTAACATTTCGTAAAAATTATTTTCCGTCTCAAGTTATGAGGAATCGTTCTCATTAATTAATTAATACAATTCATGACTCTAATAAGTTGAATAAGAATAATTAATTATAAGTTAACTAGACAAACACAAGTTGAGTCAATGACTTTGGATTAATTTTTGTTTTCCTGTATACTTCTTAACTCAACTTTATATGTGATTAATAGCCCCGTTCCATTATTCAAAATTGGATAAAATTCCTTGGAAAGGCCCTATCCAACCAGGGGTCGACGTGGCAACCTCCTATTGGCTGATTGTCAGATTATTCAATTTTTTTTTCTTTTTCTGAAGATATTATATCATTGGTTTCGATTCTTATTTAATTTCATTTTAATCGAGACAATATCAAATGTACCCCCATGAACTTTGTGATAATATCATAGACACACCTTCACATTTGAAATACCATACTAACTTCGACGATTTTTAATTATGAGTATCATATTTACAATCCGACCACTTTTTTAATCATATATCATATAAAATGAGGTTAATATTCCTAGAATGTCGTGAAACTCTCTACAAATAGTTGCAATTTAATTTGTTCATTTTAATAATAAGTTAATACTGAAAGATATGTACATATACAGTTATTTGAATATGCATACCACGGAAAAATTTTAAATTTGTGGTATAATTTTGTAATTAATAATTTCAATTTTTGATTAATTATAGAAAATGTATACGTAATTTAATTTACCATAAAATTTCATGTTTATATTCAACAATGGGCTTATTAGCATAAAATGTCTCTACGTTTAGCTATTAGTGTGCTAAACATCCCTACATTTCAAATTTTTGCATTTTCACTCTTATTTTCATGTTTCATTGTGAAAAAAAATAATAATAAATAAAGAAGAAGAAGAAGAAGAAGTCAGTTTCATGAATTTTTATCCAATGTCTAAATTAAAAATTGTGAAATGACAAATATACCTTTTCTATTTGAATAAAACAAAAAAATAAATTGCAACCATACTCCCTTTTTTAAAAAAAGTACAAATAAATCCGAAATAAATTAAATTAAAGAATCAAAAAGGAAAAGAAAAATCTTCTTCTTCTTCGCCCTCTTCCTCCCACTCCCACTCCCACTCCCACTCCCAACCCCACCCCCACCCCCACTCCTACGCATACCCGTACCTCTCACCTTCACCACGAAAATGAACTAAAAAATAGATTGAAAAATACTAGAGGATGTAGAAATTCTTAGATCGATTTTAGGATTAAACAAAAAGAGGGTTTTTCTTCTCGTTATTGCTATTGTCATTCTTGACTTCCACAAGCTTTCTTGAATGGGGATGACTTTTTTGTAGGAAGCACTCACATCACTTGGGATGGGGCACCACATCTCTTGAGAACCTCCATTTTTTTAAATCCGTTCGCTTACACCTTTCTAGATGAAACATCTTTGAAAAATCAACATCTAATCGAGTGACAAAAGTGTAAAAAGAACAAATCATCAAAGAAAAAGAAGAGCCGATTTACAGGAAATTGAAGGGTGGTGGTGCAGGAAAGAGAATATCAGTAGGCATTGTGGTGAAAAATGCAAAAAATTGAAACGGAAGGACACTTTGCACACTAAAGACCAAATATAAGGACATTTTGTGCTAATAAGCCTTATAGATCATTGCTTGTCTTTTAAGCTCCTTCCTTTGAGCAAATGTAAAAGGATACCCCTTATTTGCAGCTATTAAACCGTCCCCTCTGCCATGCTTACAATTGGACCAAACACCATTCTCCTTATTCCTTGAAGATAAGCTTTTTTCAGAATTAGAAATTTACCTCCCAAAAATTTATCGAATTTGAAGAACCCAAAAGTACTATTTTAAGTTCTTAGAACGGGTGGAGATAGGGGTGGGAGAAGGAGGGAGAGTGGTGAGGTGAGGGTAGGGTTAGGGGTAGGGATGGGAGTGGGTTGAAGAGGGAGAGGAGCAAGAAGAGGAAGATTTTTCTTTTCTTGTTTGATTTTTTAATTTATTTGGGATTAATTTTAATTTTTTAAAAAAAGCAAGTAAGTTGTAATTTTTTTTTGCAAATATTTTTTTCTTCTTTTTGTTTATTTAAATAGGAGTGTATATATATATTTATCATTTTACAATTTTTAATTAACAAATTGAATAAAAATTGATGAAAATGACGTTCTCTACAATGAAACATAAAAATAATGGTGAAAATGCAAAAAATTGAAACATACGGACGTTTTGCATACTAAGTGCCAAATGTAGAAATGTTTTGTGCTAATAAGCCTTCAACAATGAGAGGGCTAAAAGTTAATGAAAAAAAATTGTAATTAATTGGAAATTTAATAACCAAAACAAGATGTTAAATACAAATAATTTCCTTTTACTATTCATGTAAAATTTTACAGAGATGTACTTTTTGTTAATTCATTAAAACATTATATAATCTCAAAATTTATTATTTAAAGATGACTGTGTTATTATTCCCCCATTTGAAATAAAATTATAAATAATTTATAAATTCAATCAAGTTAAACAT